CGCAAATAACTGGACGATACCGATAACTTAAAGTAAGCCACGATCACTTCTAACAAAACCAGACATAATTTAACATCCATTATCTGCATATAATTTTCTCATGTGATTTCATGAAAACAAGCGCAGTTGAAGAGTGTTTTAAAAAATTGCACTCATGTAGAATACAAAGTTCTCACAGCGGTGGTTATGAAGAGTATTCTTCGACTCTGAAGATGGAGGCGATATGTTCCTCCGAAATGTCGGTTGACTTTCAACGGAATACACGGCGTTATATACCAGAAGATAGTACTCCTCAAGTTGTAGTCGGTTGTTCATTTAATTCAGTGACTTGGCTGTACATAAAATGCTAAAATTTAATTAATTTATTCTTTGTTATTGTGACATGTAGAACCGTTGCTAGGCAACAACCGCGAAACAAATAACTAGATAATAGCCGTTACTAGACAACGATCCGTAAACTGCAAGAGAATATCGACGTTTTCTGTACGGCCCGTGCAGGGTTGTCATAAGCAAGTCAGTCGAGTTGAGTTCAGTTGGTTAGAGAATGACTGAGTTAGTTACTGGGTTATTTAGAGGACTGCTGAGGCTCAGTCGTTGTGAGCCGTGGCTGTGAGAAGCTGTTAACTGAGACCGGAGACATTACGACAATCCAGAGGAGAGGGAACGTCCGCTGTTGGAAGCCGCTGCCAAGCAACGGCTAGTAAATAATTGACTGTGGACACTAGCGCGTGTGCGTGTTTTATAGTGAATAGTAAAGAGTAGTCGTGCGCTGTATCATAGAGTCCAATAAATGCGATCATCAATCCAAAACCCGTCTATAGTCACGCTCAAACATGTAAAAATATTTTAACAATGCATTTTTACGTGCTTGAATTATATAGTATGGGTAATAAATTCAAGTAGACGTAAAAGAAAGCGATCGTGGCTTATTTTAAAGGAGTATCTCGAATTTTTCAGGTGCGTAACCACAGCGGAACCACGCGGACGATAACCTGTCTCTTGGCCGAGAGTGTGACTTTCCTACATAGCAGTAGTTCCAACCTCATGAACGCAACTGTCGGCAAGGTTGCGCATTTCTAACACAATTCTCAAGGCGAATCAGGACCGTACTCATGAAACTGCATGAATTCTACACTTCTTGGCCTGACAGAAATGAAATGTCATCTCATTCCTACGACCTCTTTACAGATTAATATTGCCCTCCCACGTGTGCCAAGATCTTCAGAATTCTCTCATCTCTGTAGGTTTTCAGCGTAAGTCGTACACGCATTACTCATATATTCTATGCACACTATACCTCACTCGTTTCAATCGCTCTTCATTTGTTCACCTTGATAACAGTTAGTGAAGACTCATTAGTGAAGGTTCATTACGTTTCTTATTATGTAGAATAGGGATAGCGACTGGCTGTGGCCTGGAAGACTAAGGAGTCGGAGTTCGAGTCCTGGTAAGGTTAATTTCCTCTTCTCCACGTCGTCTAGACCGGTTCTGGAGCCCACCCAGCCTCCTATTCAGTGGGTACCGAGGGCTCTAACAACGGGGGTAAAACGGCCGGTGACCATTCACCTCCAACTAGTGCCGAGGTCAAGAAAAAGTGGATCTATACATCTACTCCCCCATACGTCTTCATGACGTAGTGCTTAATTAGTTAAGCACAGGGACTGTCTTGCCTTTTTTATCTTATTATGTAAATATGTCAATTCTCCATGTTCATACCACGAGGCAGTTCAGTCAGGGTAATAAGCCTCACATACTGGGCTTATTATATAGAATTTTCAGCAACAAAACCTACGCAACATACACACCAAATTTCAACATTTTAGCAGGATATCCCCTTAATATAAATATTTTAGTTGGCATACAGATCCCTAACCCACCTACATATATTTTTAATACCTTTTAATATTACTTTACATACTGCTAATATATCTTTAATATTCTTAATAATCTTCCAAAATGTTATATATAGTATACCCTTATTTAAATCTATCTTTTTATATTTTTAATCATGTACTCGTATTTGCTATTTTAAATTTACAAAGATAAAGGCAAAGTTTTTATGTTAATATTCAATACGACGCGTTGCACCGATAAGAATCCGTATCGGTATTTCAGTAACTATACGTAATCCTGCCTGATGATGGTCATTTATGACCGAAACATATTGCAGTAATAAAGATATAATGTAATAACTGAAATATTTGTTGTGTTGACGGTAGCATAGTTCTTAATCATTCATTCATTGATCAGTAATCTGTCAGACGACAAGTCCACAGCAGAGGACTTTGTTGGCATCCGTTACCAGACAACGGCTAGACATAGAAGGCATAGAAGACTTAGCGTGTGCTATATTGAGATGTAGATTGTGCGAACTAATGATAGTCGTCATCATCATCAGTAATCTGTCAGACGACAGGTACACAGTCTCTTCCAAAACAATTCCTCCACTTAATGCGATCTAGACAATATCCTCTTCTGTCCCCAAGGTCATCCAGCATCATCTTCCTCCTCGTCTTCTTGTCACTTCTATCCGCCCCTCTATCTTTCTTTCAATAACTTCTTTTAGAAGGCAGTTTCTGCGTAAAACATGACCAATCCAATTAGCCAATTAGTATTACGTCATAATTAATTGTAGTTACTAGTTATAAGCCTTCAGTAAATCCATTTACCAATCTAAACCCTATTTCTAGTCATTAGCACGTGACATTAATGTGTCGGTGTTTGCTTGGAGGTCCTGACAAAGACCAAGAAACATTTCAGTCGGGATAGTCCAGATAACTGTAGAGAGAAGGCTCTTCACACCCCTGCTGGAAACTTCTTGTACCGGCAGAAAAACATGGTGAAAAGTGAGATTTGTCACTCGGATATTCTATAATGTCTGAGTCTGTAAGAAACTCCATTAAGTCTTAAAGGAAAGAAAAAGAAATGAGCGTGCTGAGCACTAATCTGGATGGAACAGTCCATTACGTTGCATAAGTCTTCATGTGTTTTTCACTGCAGAAACAATATTATGCGGATATTCTCTATTCCTTCTTCGTCTCTCCTTACTTATTTTGTTATTTATTTTATATATCAGGAGATTCCACTTAAATCCTACATAAAACATAGGTTTCAAGGAGCTCTCAAAATAAACATTTCTCATTCAAATGATGGCAGATGACGTCTCAGAGACCGTTGTTGGCAGAGCCATCTACCGCCAGAATTAGTTATGTTTGCAGTCAGAGAGTACAGCGCTCCCCATAAGAGCTACGTGTTAACAGCATAGCCATAAACCATCATTATGAATTTATTATACTGAAAAAATATATTTAAGTATTCATCTATGTGGTAGGGTCTGCACACACACACAATCAAAGCATAACTTCAAAAAGTACAAGTTCCAGCACTCTTATAAATACAAAATGTTCATGTAAATAACTACAGCTGATGATTCGACGGAGACATTATTGTTGGCAGATCCACCTATCGGCGGAATTAGTACTTCTTGTACACAGCTACTACAATGCTCTGTCGAAGCACTGTTACAATAACTTCTCATTGCCTTATTGTTAATATAAACAGAGAACAAATTTATTTCATTATCCTCTGTCTCTCTTTGGCTGTCTGCATTACATATCTGTGTAGCTATTTACCTGTCTGTTAAGTCTATCTATCTATGTCTGTCTGTCTACCTACCTACCTACCTACATACATACATACATACTTACATACATACATACATACCTATCTACCTATGTGTGTGTGTCTCTGTCTGTCTGTCTGTCTGTCTGTCTGAGCCTCTTTATTAAATGAACTAATCTCAAAACACGAATCAAGTAATTTTGACGAAGCCACAGCAATTTTGACTTTCATTGAAATCTCGATGTATACACTTGATATTCCTAATTAAATTTTCCGTGATTTTCCTACTTTCCTCCGTATGAATTCCTGTATAGTACTTTAAAATCGCCCGCCACTACTTCCAGTCAGTCCTTCCTGTTTCACAGAAAGTTATCATCTTCCATAAATTTCAGAACCAAGTCTCTGCAGATGATATAGCGTTATTCAGTTATCTGTGAAGAATCTACGCTCATAAAGTGAGCGTCATTATGGAACGCCGTGTGATACGCGCGCGGTGCAGGCATCAAACAACGTTCCGCCTGCAAGTGAAATGAGACGTGAAATTTATGGATTGGTTAACATTTAGGTGGGAGCATTCCCTTCTCTTGGATTCCTTTGAACTAGTTCCGGTGGAGAGCATGAGTTGCATGTCTGTCTAACCGCTGTGAAACGTTTTGTGCTAGGCAACATAACATGTGTAGGAGGGTACGAGTGACGAAAATAAAGCGTTCTATATCGGATGATTGAATTTATTGGCACTTCGGTTACAATTTCTCTTAATTACAATTAGTAGAGCGCTATTGATGATTTGCACACTTTACAATTCACCGTTACACAACCACTAGGTCTCTCAGTTTCCACTAGTCGTCTCCTAGCAGTGGATCTCAACACAGAAACCAGCGCTTCAGATCACTAAGAAGTCTTCTTGCCACTTCTTGTTCAATCACTCTGGAACCTCGGAACTCAACTAAGAACTCTTCTTCGCCGCAAGAGGACTCGTGTTATATAGCCGCAGCACGGACAATGCAGAAAACACAGATGTACCGTTTCGTAGCGTAGATCACACAGAAATCACATCACATGATAGCTAACACTACTGGGGTTGACGTCATTGCGCATGCGTGGAAATCTGTTTACCTAGCCGTTGCCTAGAAGCGAGTTACACAACCCCGTTGTTACAGTGTTGCTTGTTGGACAGTGTATGTATTGCGGGCGTCCCCTAGCAATGGATTTATATGTCACATTATTGTCGGGTATTTATGGCCGTGACTTATAAGACGGGTTTTGGATTGGATGACTGGATTTATTAACACCTTTTACAATCTTACGGCCATCAGCTGAAGCTTTGATCGTTTGACTTGAAACAAAAACTATACGTAATTTCTTTCTGTCTTTTGCAGGGCCTGGAACTTAAAGGGCAGATGGTTTTTTGTCCTGAATCGGATTCAATCTTATTTGTTGGCTCCCCGTTTCTGGATGGTCTGGACGGTCTCACGGGCCGTGGGCTGTTTATCTCCGATATTCCTCTGCATGACGCAACGCGTGACGTCATCCTCGTCGGAGAACAGGCCAGAGCACAGGTCAGTTCCGCTTCTAGTTCTCTTATTTATGTATGAGAGAGAGATCATCCTCCTACGTTATGCTGGCTACAAGCAGCTACTTGCTTCACTCCAAAGTAGGGTCAGCTGCCATGTTTTAGGGCATGAAATGGGAGAATCCTGGAGCGAAGAAGATCCTTGGATAAACAGGATACAATTAGGATGAACAAACCAAGGAGGATGAGATGGGGAGAGAATGTAGCACATATGAAAAGATGAGAAATCCATAGAAAGTTTTTGTGGGTAAACTTGTAGGAAAGGGGCTACTTGGAGTATCTAGCGGTAGAAGGACAGATAATATTAAAGTGGATCTTAAAGAAATAGTATGGGGCTCTGGACTGGATTATCTGTCTCGGTATAGGGACCAGTGATGGATTTTTGTGTACGTGGCATAAACTTCTTATTCTTCGTCTTGCGTAGCACAACCATTGAGGTCCAAGACGCCCTGTTGTAGAGATTTCAGGACTTGAATTACAGGAAATTGGTAGAGCTGCTTGAGTAAAAAATCGGTCCGTCACAGAGCCTCTACATACACAGGATAGCAAAACACAGGAAAATATAAACATATCCGTGCTCTAGGTGCGATTCGAACACACGAAACCAGTGTTCAAAGGCAGAAAATAACACACTCCTTTGAGCACGCGGTCACTGTGCTTTGCAATGATCCTTCTGGGTGCATAAAATTATTGGAATTTCTTGACTAGTTGAGGAACTATTAGCTTTTGGGGGAAGATCCTACTCCATGGAGTTAGTTGGTTAGATAAGGCAACGGGGAAAGTAGGCCGCTTTTCTTTTGAAAGCTCTTATAGAGCCCGAGGGAAGAGTTTTCTGGAGAACCATTTGAGTAAGATGTTGCTCGGGTTAGAGAGAAATAAGCCAGTTTTAAAGGGTTGTGACGATGTTATATTACCCTAGGGACTACAGAGTTTCTGGTCTTTTCCCATCGTCTAATAATATGATAGAACACAAGGAGAAAAAACATTTGCGCCGAAAGATCCCCTGTGTAATTATTAAAATGCAGTGACACATCGAAGAAATGAGAGAGGAATATTGGACAGGCAATGACGCCTTAGGGAGATGAAAGATAAATACTAGAAAGGCAGTGAGGCACTGAGGTGAACAGCGAGGAATGTTGGACAGGCAATGAGACAACAGGGAAATAGGGGAATGTTGGACAGACAGTGAGGCTTCAAGGAAATGAGACAGGAATGTTGGATATGCAGCGAGACGTCAAGGAAATGAGACAGGAATATTGGATAGGTAGTGAGACATCAAAGAAATGAGACAGGAATGTTGGACAGAGTAAGTCATCAAGGAGGCCGCGCCATAGCTCAAGCGGTTAGTCGCTGGCTTCCCACCGCGGCGTCCCGGGTTCGATCCCGGGTCTGGTCAAGTGGAATTTGTAGTAGACAAAGAGGCGCTGGGGCAGGTTTTCTCCGAGTACTTCGGTTTCCCCTGCCACTCTTCATTCCACCAATTGCTCCACAATCACCCTCACCTATCATCTGGGGCTGGTACAATAGGCTAGAATTGGCCGCAGTACAAGGGACTTAGTCCTACCCCAGTAGCAATAAAAAAAGTCATCAAAGAAATGAGACAGAAATTTTGAACAGGTAGTGAGGCATCAAGGAAATGAGATAGGAATGTTGGACAGGCAGTGAGACATAAAAATGAGATAGGAATGTTGGACAGTCAGTGAGACATTATAAAAATGAGACAGGAATGTTGGATATGCAGTGAGAAACCAATGAAATGAGGCAGGAATATTGGCTTGACAGATATTGCTGAGATGGTAAGAAAAACTATGAACTGAAACACCAAGGAGATATTGAAAAAACTCAGAGCTTCGGATGAAAGATCGGAACTCAGAAGTAATTATCTGCTCATGGATAGCAGTCCAATTTGAGAGAAATTGGCAATTAAGCATCGAAATGTTAGGCTCCATCTTGTTCACTCTATTTCACAGTAAGGACCGGTCAACTTGGATCAAATAGTAACTTCCTACACTTGCATTCGAGAGGTGTGCAGGTCTTAATTTCATTAGAACATCTGCTATCCTGCTTGAAGTTTTCGTGATTTTCCTCCACCTCTCCATTAAGAGGCTGGAATAGTACTTTAAATTAGGCCATAATCCCTCTACCCCTCACCCTTCCCGATTCATTATTCATTAGTCTGCTTACCATGTGACACTATATAATTTGAGATGATGACAGATAATAATCGTGACAAATTCATTAGAGACAGTTATAACTGATGAAGCTTCATGTAATTAATAAATGAGAGGTGATTTTGCCCTGATAATAATCTCGGGCTGTCAAAAGCGAAGTTACGAATTCTGAATAATATATAATGAAACTTATATACTAAAGTGTATGATAAAAAAATAAACTCTATAAAACTGTAATTTGTAGTGTGTAGTTTAGTTCCTTTATAAAAAGAAAAATTTAATTTAAAATCAGTTCACTCCAATAATTAAAATTCCAATTGTAATTGAAATTAACTAGAGCAGAAGAGTGTACACCAGTATGGATTACATATATATCTACCAAAGTGTGTTGTTGTTAATTTTTCGTACCTGAATCTTCCCCATGTTCTGTTTTTCATAAATAATTGATTATTACACATATGGATTTATTTTTGCAAATTTAATCGCACTGCTTATATTCACCTCGTGCAACCACAAATTAATTACATGCACTTAAGAATATGTTATATTAGGAAAGGTTTTCAAGAAGACTTGTATATGTCAGTGTATCACTAATGTACAATAGTTATATTTTAAGAAAACTGATTAATTTCACCTTCATGCGAAATACGAACTACACAGAGATTACTCCAGAGTAATGTTTTTCAGTCGTGGGACAATTTTGAAAACGACTTTTCAGTTGGAAAAATCATTTGTGAGGGTTTCGTATTCATTGACCTTTTGAATTTATTATTAATTTATACATATATAACGGGAGCGGGGATAGCGCAGTCGGTATATAGACGTGCTACGAACTGGAAGACTGAGGGGTATGACTCATATGAGCAAAAATTTTCTTTTCTCCACATTATCGAGACCGGTTCTGGGGTCTACGGAGCCCTGTATTCAGTGGGTACTGGGGCCCTTTCCCCAAGTGTGTAAAGCTGACTACTCACCCGAACTAGTGTCGAGGTCAAGAATACGTGGATCTACACATCCACTCCGCTAAACGCCTTCATGACGTAATGTATTAGTGTTTAGGCACTGGGACAACTTTACCTTTTTTACACATATTTTTGCTGTCCGCATTAGGAAACTTAGATATTTTAAGGAGTCATTATTTAGTCAGCGTCGAGAAATTGTTCAACAGAGTTCAGCCACGAGGCGAGCTTCTTTACGAGAGAACTGTTCGATGAAGAGACAAAGTAATCGTATTAACTGATGTGAACTATAGCAAATTCGTTTCGGCATTTGTAATAAAGGGGGATAATTTTGTCCTTGTGTTCAAGTAACTAAGAACCATACCATGGAAACGTATGGGGAAGAGAAGGTATAGCTCCAGCATTCTTCACCTCGGACCTAGATTGAGGAGATTTGTCAGCTTCACGTCCCGACCGCTTTCACCCTGGGGAAAGATCCGCCTTTACCCACTGGATAGGAGAGCGGATGGACCCCAGAGGCAGTCCAAACACTATTGAGAAGAAATAAATATCCTGCGCCTGTCGGGAATCGAACCCCGCCCGTCCAGCCAGTAGCCCATTACTGTAGCGGCTGAACTATCCGGCTCAAAACATTGTCACGTATGAGGGGTTTGCGTGGCTAATAATAACGGATTCTGGATTAGGTGATTTTATTTATTGGCACTTCTTTACAATTATAGCCAATTACAACAACTCACAATCGATTACTGCCTACGACCCGCTCCATTCCTTACTGGACTAGGAGTGTCTTCTCTTCTGCTGCCACGGGCGACGAATCATTGCCCACTCAGTGAGCTCCTTACGAACGAGTTACGACTCTTTTATAACTTTCATGCGGTCCGAATATAGGTCACCATCTCAAACGGTTTCTCTGTTAGTCTGTGTTATCCGTTGCAGCAGAGACGCCTGGTGATCCCAAGAATCTGTTCTCGTGGAAACACTGTTTGTTTATTACTCGTATCCACGGAAACCTTTTTAAATATTCGTTGACATGAGAAAGCGTTTCAGCGAACCGTTGATTAGCAACTGGTCATATACATAACAGTATATATTTATATAAAGCTAAAGGTAAAGGTGGCCGGTCACGGTAGCCGAGCAGTCTAAGGCATGTACTGTCTTCACTCGATTGGAAGCCCGGATCGTGGGTTCGAATCCAACTCAGGGCATGGATGTTTAGTTTGTGTGTGTGCGTTTTTCTGTGTTTCTGTACAGGTAGAGGCCTTGTGACGAGCTGTTCACCCGCCCAAGGAGTCCTACCGAATGTGTAAGATCTAAAAAAAATTGAAGTGAACGGAGAATTTCATGGAGGTAAGCCTAGGCCCACTGGGGTTGTAGTGCCAAGGAAAAAAAAAGTAAAGCTGCCCCTGTGCTTAATTAGTTACTCGTCACACCATATAGACGTACGGGGCAGTGGCGTTATAGCGCCACCATTCTTAACCTCGGCACTATATGGAGATGAGTAGTCGGCTTCACGCTTCTGCCACTTTACCCCCAGAGAAAGATTAGCAGTACCCCTTGAATACAAGGCTTGACGGACACCGTGACGAAAGAATCTTGCCTCTTCTCCGGAATTGAACCCCGACCTCCAGCCCGTAGTCTGTCACTATACCGACAGAGCTATCGTGACTTTGGAAACGTTTGTATAGGCCATAATACAACAAGTCATCCAAAGTCGCTAAGTAGTTTCATAAATTAAATATAATGCATAGACTGGCATAAGACCTGCAGTTTATGCGTTTGTCACGTACTTGTTAAAATGAGGGCAATTTGGCTCAGTTTTTTACTTGTATTTTTGAGGGGTACGGTTTGAATTTTGG